TGATGTCAAAACGGTCCTTTACCTTCACCTGGTTTCTTGCCTACTGCCTAGCAATCATATTTCATAGTTTGATCACACTATTTCCATTGGGTACCTGCAGGATACTCAAAAACAGCAGAAAAATGAGATTCTCTTTCAGAAATTTGGTATCAATTACAAATCGCTTCCTCAATTGTTTCGCCAAGGATCCTGCCTTTTCAAGACAAAGGTGATTGTTTATATTTTCTGTTAGAAATTATATATATAGCTTTTATGCTTGCTTTAATATGTGCTGTGTATCTATTTAGAAATTTAGACCTTTCAATTATAAGTTGAATCTTTATGAAGATTAGTAAGTTCAGTTTGTTGAACTATATAATTGTCCCAAATGTTTGTTGATGTTTAGGTTTTTAATGCTGTTGTAACTAGCTGAAAGTAGGTGTTATCTTCTTTGTATGGTGAAATTAAGTCACATGTTCTCTTGTCATTGCATCTGTCTTGATGTTCATTGTAAATTCGCTTGATGCTATATACCTCAGACTTATTGTAGATTTCCCTAATGAGACACTTTTATTTAACTTCATTTAGGTGGAAGAAACTGTAAAGCATGATGAGAATGGCAATCCTGTAAAAAGATTGAGGAGGAAGGCTGTTTTTGTACATTCGGAAAATATTGCCGGAAGAAGCTTTTGGAATGAGCAACCCACCCTATATAAGGATCTTGGTCACTTCACGAATGACATTGGCAAAATTGAACCAGATTTTGTTAGGTCGTTTCAGTTTGAGAACAAATTGTTACCTTTAACTTGGGTCGTGGTTAGGATTGATGGTTGTCATTTTCACAGGTATATTCTTTAGTTTGTTGGCTCCCTATTTTCTTATAACCTTGTTAGCCATTTTTATTACATTGAAGCCTTAGACTACTAAAGCTCTTGCGCTCCTTAGGATTCATCTATATCATGTCATGAAATGATATACTTCTTTGGCTTGCCTGTTCGGTTTGCTTATGCTATGTTGTGGTTGCTTTTGTGTAGGGCATATTCTAGTTCTTGAATCTTAACATGCAAGACAAATTTGTATTACTGATTTACAAGAGCGCTATCTGTTGCAATTGAAACTCATGGAACTTGCTTGTATTTTGATAGATTTTCTGAAGTTCATGAATTTGAGAAGCCAAATGATGAGCAGGCTCTGAAACTTATGAATTCATGTGCAGTGGCTGTTCTTGAGGAGTTTCAGGATATTCAATTTGCATATGGTGTCAGCGATGAGTACAGGTCTTTATCTCTCAAGTCAATCTCTTTAAATCAGCCTTTACATATCTTAGATATTAATCAAGTTCATCATCAAATGCAGCTTTGTTTTGAAGAAAGAATCTGAGCTCTACAAAAGACAATCCAGGTTAAACTAAATTTACTCATTCCCTTAGAGTTTTGACTCAATGTCCTTGATTTTCTTGTTCTTAATTTCTGATATTGTATTGCAGTAAGATAATATCTTCGATCGCATCTTTCTTTACGTCTACTTATGTGATCAAATGGGGAGATTTCTTCCCTCGTAAAGAATTGAAGTACCCTCCATCGTTTGATGGACGAGCAGTATGCTATCCAACATACAAGATTCTCTTGGATTATCTGGCTTGGAGACAAGTTGACTGTGAGTATAACAATCTCTTGGATTTGGAATCGTCTTATTTTTGTGAAACGAAACCTTAATATATGAGTAGTCTCATGTTTTCTTTATGTTTTTCGATTTGTCAGGCCACATCAATAATCAGTATAATACATGTTTCTGGATGCTTGTTAAGTCTGGGAAAACCAAAACTCAATCTCAAGATTATTTAAAGGTACTTTGTCATGTTTGCACTTTGTTCATGACTTAAAACGGTTGTTCTTATCCTGCTCTTTGTGAATGGCTTTTCCAGGGGACCCAAACACGAGAGAAAAATGAACTGCTTAGCCGTCAATTTGGAATCGAGTACAACACATTACCTCTAATCTTTCGAATGGGCTCTTCGGTTTTCCGCCTAAAGGTTAGTATTAGGTTTATTATCAAACTCTAAATCTGATGTGTATATGAGGAAGATATACAATGGACTGGCTAAAGAACTTCATAAATGCCAAACTTGTTCTATTCCTTATCATCTGAACCAGTTAAGTTGCTTGGCTAAGTCGTATTCCAAACTTGAATGTGGAACATATTCGTCCATTGCAGAGCTTTGTATTTAACTGTTAACTAAATTTTGACCCACGCTAAGCGTGGGATTAAATAATGAAATATCTCTTTTAATCGATTTTAATATTTAAATGTGTATGACAAAACTTATGATTTCTAATATTTATAAACTTACAAAAATGATATGCATTATACATAAATATAATAAAGTTAAATTTTGATCAAACATATTTTGATGCCATTAGTTTTAATATTTTTATGTACAAAATTGATCAAAACATATGAAAATGTTATTTATTTCAATATATTTTTAAATGTAAAAATAATTTTTATTATTCGTATAAATTATAGAGAATGCAGTAAATCAGATTTTTTTTTTTTGTCACATGCAGTAAATCAGATAAATTTTAGATTTATATGATTTTGTCGGACATGTCAAACGAAAAACAA